GATCATATGAAACCATTTATTATCATATAGTTGTTTGGCTCCTTTTTAAATCATAATGATGACAAAAATCACCCAAATCGTCATGATCAAAAGTTTACTTACCCTGGAATGTTTGGCCTTGGTACAGACACACAAGGTGACACACACGGGTTAAAATGCCAATTAGAGGTTAATGTCCCACATCTGTGACTTTTTAAATTGCAGTTAGTGTCAGTGTATAAATAGTTAATGAGTTTGTTAGCTCTTATGTGGAAGCACTGACTAGGCTAGATACTGAGCCATGGGGATCAGAAAAGAACTGTCAAAAGTCCTGCGTAACAAGGTAATGGAACTTTATAAAGATGAAAAAGGACATGCAAAGATGTCCAAAGCCTTGAATATGCCAATCAGTACTGTTAAATCACCTATTAAGAAGTGTAAAGTTCAGGGATCTCTTGATATCAAGCCAAGGTCAGGTAGACCAGAAAGATTGCAGCCACAACTGCCAGAAGAATTGTCTGGGATTCAAAGAAAAGCCCACAAGCGACCTCAAAAGAAATACAGGCTGCTCTGGAAAAAGATGGTGTGGTTGTTTTTAAGTAATAGAATACGGTGATACTTGAACAAAAATGAGCTGTTTGGTCGAGGTGCCAGAAAGAAGCTTTTACTGCACACAAAAAAGCCCAGTTACTATATGCCTGACAACACCTTGACATGCCTAACCAGGCCTTCTTGTGTCACTGATGCAGAAGCAGTAAAGGCTTCTTTCTGTCACCTCAACCATGCAGTTCATTTTTGTTCAAGTGTCATCATATTGTGCTCCTTCAGAACAACCACACTGTCTTTTTCCAGAGCAGCCTGTATTTTTCTTGTGGTTACCTGTGGGGTTTCCCTTTGTATCCCGAACAATTCTTCTGGCAGTTGTGGCTGCAATCTTTCTTGGTCTACCTGACCTTGGCTTGGTATCAAGAGATCCCTAAACTTTCCACTTCTTAATAGGTGATTTAACATTACTGATTGGCATAGTCAAGGCTTTGGACATCTTTTTATGCACACATTATTGCTGGGAAATTTCACTGTAGCCTACTAAAAATGAATCTGGCGGGTAAAGCCAATACAAAGGTGTCCATTAACTGATGGATTTTGCATATCCTTTGCATGATATTGCAATACAGTAAAATGTAGTCCAATGTTTTTTCTCAGTACCTGATGAGATCTTCTCGGTCCTGGAATATCTTCATACTCCTCTGCACAGTGTACTTTGGGAATGTCATGCGGCCCATGTTTACCATTAAGACTATGGAAAGCAGACTCTGCCCCCCACTAGCAGCTTCTTCTACTTCCATAGATTGTGTCAATGAAAACAAGAGAAGGACTCGGCAAAATACAGCCCTGGGGGCTCTGCAAACCCGTACTGCTCGACCAGCACTGTCTTTGGCTCTGGAAACACAAGACAACAATTGAAACAATGAAAACAAATATAAAAATTTAAATGCAATGTCCCATCTCAGACTGATTTTTATCTCCATTTCTTAGAGCTAAACAATCTATTTACAAAAAATATTTAATGCTGCATCTTTTTTTTTTTAATTTAGGTTTAAAATTTTAACGATTGCACTTAACAGTTGTGTATTTTCTCTCTAGCGGTTACCTGTACGAGAGATAGAATCAGCAATCATGCTGAAATCCTACTGGCATCAGTTCAACTACCTTGAGATTGTATTGTGTTTTACTAATCATTCTTAGGCCACAATCGCACAGGCTTTACAAAATGTGTCATTCAGCAATCACTGCAAGTAATCGCTGCCTTTGCGATCCACCGCAAATAGCTGCAGCCGCAAGTGTAGAGGCTCAGTGTCCACAGCTAGTCAGTCTCAGGTTTTTAAAAAACAGCAGCAGGAATCAGCAGATTCCTGCAGCTGCCATTTGCACCAAGTCAGAATACCTGTGCAAATGTAGTTTTGTGCTGGCCATACACAGCTAGAATTTTAGCAGATTCAGCAGACCCTGTTGGCACCTTTTAGCTCGACAAATGATCTGAAAGTTGAAAAAAAACAGGTGGAAAATTCTTGTCCAAATAGTGACTGCAGCCAATCAGATGCAGCCTCTGTTTGGGTATTCTGATAGCCCCATGTGCTGCAGCTGTCAGAATACAATATCTTTGCAGGGGGGGGGGGGGGGGTTAGATGGATGTGCATAGCTAGCCTTGGCTGACTGACAGATTTGCAATGAGGTAAGGGGAGTAGTAAAGCACAAGCATCACAGAGCACAACTCAGATGAACAAATATGGTTACCCTTATGTACACATACAACTGAAAACTATATACAGAAACAAAGTTACTATATTTTATTATTAAATACTAAGCAGATCGTGTTGGCATATATCTATAAACAAACACACACATATCACTTTAAAAACCTATTTCTTTAAAAAATAGAAGGAGATTTCCACTTTTACCTATAACAATGTAGACAAAAGCAAGCAGTTCTCTATCTGTCCTGGCACTCCAAACAACTGACTTCATTTCAGAGGTAGAATCCCGCCACCAAGCATTAACTCTCTGCCAATCAGTGTGCAAGTGTATTTCAGATGCATTTGCCATGCAATCACATTTCAACAAACTTATCTCAAACTAACTAAAGCTGATCCTAAAAGTTGGAAACCCCTTTAAACCCAACAGATGATTCAGTGTTTATAAAGGCTTCAACAAAAAAAAAATGGCACTAATATGGCCTTAATATTTTTGCAGTCTATTGCAAAAGTTACATAAACTCATATGTGAAATTACTTTTTAAGGATAGCTGAAGCAATGCCAGATTGGTTTTTAGCCATGCTGAATATGGAACGTTGTTTGGAAAGTTTCATAAACTCCTCCACCAGCTGTTGCTTTTGAGCATTGGGGTTTTTCAAGTGAAATGATTTTGCTAGATTTTTTAGTTCTGGGGCAGATAGAAGATCCAAGGCTTCGGTAAGGTCCTCCAACTCACGGTCTTCAAAACAAAAAAACAAAAAAAAAAAAACAGAGATTAACCCACAAAATAAGTTTCTATATTTGTACACATTGGAAAAATAGGTATAGCAAAATTATACTTACTGTTCCAGGATATTGTAAAAGAAAGTTGCAATGATCGCCTTATACTATATTGGAACTTATGTACAAATACCATCTTAAATAAGTGTCATGACTACAAAAGAGCAACATTTTTTACCTAGAGTTATTCTCTAAATTACTAGGATCACACAAGAGATTTTTATACCGGCAACTGCATGCTTTCAATCCTGTTGAGTGAGCAGTTGTGTGAAACGCTATGAGAGCTACACTCTTAGAAAGCGTAGAAAAAAAAAATTTACCACTCAACTTTACTTAGGCTTGCCAAACACTGATTGAAATTTGGTTCAGCAGGGACCAGACAAATTCAGTTATATAGTTGGTAAGGTTTAATAAAGACACCAGACCATCCAGTTCAGCGTGTGTGTGTTTATGTCACTACCGTTTCCCATATCTCTGTACATTGTATTTGCTAAAAAACACATCTAAAAGTTTTTTGTTTTTTTTAACTGTCTATGCTCATAGCTGACACCACCAATGTGGAAGGGATTTCCACAGCCTTACCACTCTAACAATAAAGAACCCATTACGCAGTTTAAGGTTACACAGCTTCTTATTCAACTTCATTGAGTGGTTGTGTGTTTTATTAAGAGAACGAAGATTGAATAGTTTTCTCCCAATGCTAGAATCACCATTGGAGAAAAGTATATTGTGATCATATCACCTCTTAAGCGGCTTTTCTCCAAGGAGAATAAGTATAGTGCTTGCAGTAGCTCCTTATAAATTAGGTCCTACAGCCTCCTTATTAGCTTTGTTGCCCTTCTCTGGACACTCTCCAGTTCCAGCAAATCCTCCTTCAGGATTGGTCACCAAAACTGGATTGCATACTCAAGATGTAGCCAGACCAGAGTTTTGTAAAGTGGTAGAATTATAGTCTTATCCCTTGAATAGATACCCTTTTAATGCAAGCGAACAGTCTGCTAGCCTTGCTTGCTGCAGCTTGGCATTGCATGCTATTACTGAGCCAGTGATCTACTAGGAACCCCAGATCCTTTTTCATCCTTGATTGCCCACCAAGGTTCTCCTAGTTGCGATTAACTAAGCTTTCATATTTTTAGCCACAAAGTGCATTACTATTTTATTGAGGTCTTGAGGTAACGTTGTTACATCCTGTTGTGAAGTTAATCTCCTGTTTAACTTTGTATCACCAGCAAACACAGAGACTGAAAAATATATAGGAACCTCAATCCATGAGTTCCAGTCAGTGTGTGGCTGTCCCCACTGGACAGAAGTCGATCGACTTCTGTTTAAGGATCATGCTGGAAAACTTCTCAAACAGTGGCTGCAGCCACTGATCGGTGCATTCTGACAGTTGCAGGACCCACCGTCAGAATACAATCTGTTTAGCAGGAGAAATTCCTCTGTCCACCTTGTTTCAACCAGTTGGCTAAACAAAATAAAACTAACAGTGTATGGCTAGCATTAAACTGAAAACTCTTGTGTGACTCTGCGTTAATGTGGTAGGAATAAAACAAACCAATAAAAAAAAAACAGCAGCTGAAGTCTCCTACCTTTGTTGCATACCAGTACTGCAGCCCAGGTCAGTCTCTTGTGCATTCAACATTTCCAGTAGTGGTGGAAGTCTGTATCCCCTACCTCATGCCGTGGTTTCATCCTCCGACCTCCACAGCAAATGATGTAGGGATTGGAGGATGGATGAACAATGGTCCCAGAAGTGGAGACTTCAGAGCTTGAATGAATCAGAGGTAGGAGACAGGGGCCCCCAAGTGAGTAATAAAAGTTCTTATCTTGCAGTGCACCTTTTAGGACCCCATCAGGGACAGATCTACAGCTACAAGTCATCCATGTAGTGTAGCACTACAGCATGTCTGAATTCCAAAGTACCCATAGTATAAGCCATACCCGACTGCAGGAAGCCATTTCTAATTAGTTCTTCAATATAAGGAGTCAAGTCAGAACCAATCTCAGAATACTCAATCTTGTTCATTTTTATCCAGTTTAACTTGCGCTGGAATAGTCGAACATATAGCTTCTGTCCACCAGCTTTAAAAAGAAATATGGGAGGAGGGGAGGGATAAAATGAATATTAGACATTAAGAAACACTAAATGAATAATTGTATAGATACAGTTATTTGTTCTTAAGCCTCACCTCCAGCAAATATATAAAACGGATTCCACTCATACACAGCCCTTCTAGTTATCACAATACTTAGTAAAATGTGTCCACCAAAAAACAAATTCTTCCTGCAAAACAACGTGAAATATTTACTTTAGAAAGAAGTCCTCCAGCGACACGGTCACTGCTGCCAGGGCATCCGTCTTCATCCGGTCTTCCTTCCGGGTTTGCTGGCTCCAGCGTGGCACAGAGCTCAGAAGAGACGCCATGAGTATGCCAACCCTTCAGAAAGCATGCACCAGTAACATCACCAGCTGCACACATGAAGAATATCTCCTAAATGGTGCATGCTTAGGACATATTCCTTGCACCTTCAGGTAAGCTTTATTATAAGCTTACCTGTAGATACAAGAGTCCCAGCGGTGTTTACTACCACTTTAAGAACCTCGACATTATGCTTTGCATTACTACATGTTAAGGTGAGCTGTGATCATGTAGCCCATTCATTTTAAAAAGGCTGGTAGTGCACATCAACGCACACAAATAATACAATTCAAAATTAATGGCAAAGTGCTGCACAAGATAGTGCCCAATGTGCCCTCAAACAAAAATGTAATCTGAGAAACGTAGCTGATTTCTCTTTCAGAACATGCCAGTTGTCTGCTTGTTATGCCAACCTTTTTTAAGTACTCAACGATTGACTCAGAACATTCATATGTTACCACTGAGTTGATACATTATAAAGGAGTGATGCTTTTTTACACACACAAGTGGAGCAATCTTGGTGTTTTCAAACCTCCTCCACGTTCTAAAGTCTTGTCACACTTAGGCTGGCCATACACTATACAATTTTCTTTCCAATTTCTGCCCAATTTCCTTTAGATTTAACTTCAACTATGTAGTGCAAGGGCCTGCTTAATTGGATGCAATTGAAAGTGTTGTTCAGGTTTGACCTCATATTATATGGTTTTTGGTAAATCTAAAGTAATTTTCTAAAGAAAATTGTATAATGTATGGCCAGTCTTAGGTGTATAATTGACCATTAAGTGGCTCAGTTTCCTCTTTAGTTAGGGTGTAAAAAAAAAAAAACAGTTCTTTGGTTTGTTGTAGATGTTTGTATATAGGAATTATGTTTTTGAAGGATAAGTTAACTTTAGAAAGAAAATATTAAATGCACACTTTTCTGCAGGTAAAAAAAAATGGGCATTTATTTATTTTGTTGGGAGCCTGTAGAGCACTGCATCTGCTGATTGCTGGTGCGATGTCAGGCTCTTGCAGACTGTCAGTACACTGTCTGCCCATACCTCAGATACAGGCAGGCAGTTACTGAAGCCCAGGAAGCTCAATGGACTATGAGAGTGCTCACCATCGCTCTCGCAGTTCATTGAAAACTACAAGCCATCAGCCGCACTGGCTGAGAGTACTTTTACTCTTGGCTGTTTTTGAAGTGTGACAGCGAGTGCAAGGAGAAGGTCCAGCATGCTGTCACAAGGAGGGGGCAGAATAGGGGGAGAGGTGGTGGATGTTCAACATGTTACACCCATATTTAGTAACATGTATTAGTAACAAGTTGAGAAAGGAGAGCTTGCCCTTTAAAATGTGCCTTATTAATAGGAAATGTTTGTCTTTTGCCTTCTTATGACATCTTTTTATATATTGCTTACACAGATTTTCAATGACATTTCAGATTATTTTTATTTTATATAGTTTACTGGGCTCTGGTAAGCCACCTTTCTACAAGTTAGTACATATTTGGCTCTGCTCATTTCCCCCAAGGCTGGCAAATTTGCCATATACAATATATCTTAAACCACATGGAAACACTATAAGAGTCAGGTAGCGCTCACATTCAGGACAAACGCTAGAAAAACAGTTATACTAACAAAACAATACTTTAGCAGTCTAAGGAATAGAAATATGAGAGTTGCAATTTCTAACTTGGTTTTACAGACGCAGGCCTCAGGGCTGTTATCCTGATAGGAATCTTCACCTGGAACATGTATGCAGAATAAATGTTCACTTTTTTGTTTTTCACTTTTCTGGGCTCATACTTGTTCCTGCCTGGTCAGAGATTCACTTGGCAGTGAAACCAAACTTAGGATGACAACCCCAGAACTGGCATCTTTGGAAACCACATAAGTAGGGGCAGCTCCCATATCCCTATCCTCAAAGGTTTGGGATAAAATAAAAAACCATGTACCTGACATCTGATTAAATGCTGTTAAAGTGCTCGTATCTTCTTCGTTAAAAAGACTCATGTCTTCCTCATTCTCCATCACAGTTTGCAGCACCATTAAAAAATTTCGTAAATAATATGGCTGTCTATCAAACTCTGAAGCATTCTCTTTAATGCTGCCTTTGTCTGCTTCATCTTGGCCATCTGTGTCTCTTGGCTTCAGAAATTCAAATACATTGGAATCTTCCATGGGAAGAAGACTAATTTCATCTTCACTAGAAGACACGTCCAAGGGCTCAGCAAAGTTCTTGGTGGAAGCACATTGATCAGAAGAGGCCTCCTGAGGATCTCTAAATTTTGCCTTTTTACCATTGTTGGTTTTACTTGAAGGGTGACTAACCAACTTACGTTTTAAAGATTCACTGATACTGTCTGGTTTATAAAATAGATCTTCAGAATTAAAAGGTAGTATTTTCGGTCCATCATCATGAACAACTGGATCGTGTTTACGATCACTATAAACCTCAGAGGTATCACTTACAGTATCCAAACTTAAGGGCAAAGTTACTTTGTCAGTGCAATATGTACTGTCATCACTATGAAGATTATTGGAATTGCCATTACTTTTACTAGGTGGAAACTCTTTATGGAAAATATTTTTGTTAACGGAATCTTCTGACAGATCATCAAGGCAGTCAGCACCTTCCTTACTTTCAGCCCTGAGAGTTTGGTATCTCTGGGATAATTTAGAGGAAAGGCTACCCAGAGAAACCGTTTTTACCACCTTGACATCTTTTGGAATATCTGTCACAGAAGAAACATCCCTAAAATATGGGCTGTCTTGTTTCGTATTTGTTGTCTTTTTACATTGATCTATTCTCCTGACAGTTTTAGTAGCTTCAGTTTCAAATTCTTGAGGCAGTGGGGAAGCTGTGGTAGAAGAAAGCTGCACAGGTTTTTCATCTTCTACTAAAATGATATCATCATCCTCTGACTTTGCTTTAGAGCATTCTTCATCAATGTGTTTGTTCAGACTAAAGCGAGGAACCATTTCCCCACAAAGAGGACAAGAAAGTTTGGCAGGTGGAGCATTTTTAAAGAGAGTAAGTATGGATGGAGATGCTGTAGGCTGGTTTGAAGATCCAATAACTGGTGTTGAATTGTTTCGATTTTTAGACAAAGAGAGGCTTCTACGTTTCTTCTTTTCAGGAGTCTTCGTTTGTGACATAATGATATAAGATGAACTTGTCCAACATATCAAGAATCAATTAGGGTTGCACCTTGGAAAAAAAAAATATATATATTAACTTCACAATAGATCCATCACATGGAATTTAAATGTATGTGATAGATCTGTGATTAAGCAAAATTTAGGGTAGGTTCACATCGAGTTCAGTAGGATTGCGTTAGGCAACTATTCCAGCGCAGTCCCACCACAAGACAAGGTGAAATGTCTTGACTCCTACCTGACTGTTTCAAACTCCCACATTGTGGTGGTGTGCGCTGCAAAAAGGGCTGCATGCACTACATTTTTCTATTGCACCGCCTCACACCGTGTATCTTACTGATATGTCACTGTGTGACACTTCAATAAAGTTAGTTTTTAAAAAGTGAACAGTGCGCTGCACCGCAATCTGCACTGCTATCGTCCCACCACTGCATCGTAACACAGCAACAATGGGAAGATCTAAGGTCAAAAATTATAAAATCATTTCCACATTGTATTTCAATTTTGTAGCCTATTACTATTATTCTGAATGATACTGAGGTTTGTAAACTTGCTTTGTGAAGATCCCAACACATTTACTGCCTTGAATTCTGTGACACATATTCACTATGCCCTATAAGTAGGCACCGCTGTGTCACAAATTTCACAGAGCCTGCCTTCTGAACTAGAGGTGCTGGGAGGAGGAGCTTCAAGAGGTGGAGTCAGTACAGGAATCACTGCCTAGAGGTAGCAAGGTACCATGGGATATGTAGTCCTTGGAAATTAAGAGTAAACAGAAGAGGAGAAGCTGCAAAGTATGCTGAGAATTCAGGAAGTTGTGGAAAGAGATGGCCAGGAGACAGGTAGAACAGACCAAGCCATCTTCTTCCATTGCTCCAAGGTCCAGTTCTGATATTCACGTCCCCTTTGTAGGTGTTTCTGGCTGTACATACAGGTCAGCATGGGCACCCTGACAGGTCTGCGCCTACACAGTCCCATACACAAAAAACTGTGATGCACTGTATGTTCTCAGCAAGAGAATGTCACCAGCACACCACAGATCTCCATAACACTCCAAAGGTTTATTCAGCAATCACATCATTATAACAGAAGCAACAATTCAGAGCCACGCAGGACCCTCTCATCAGGCATGTGACATGCCTGATAAAGGGGTCCTGCATGGCTTCCGAAATGTTGCTTCATCACATGCCTGATGAAGGGGGTCTGCATGGCTCCAAAACTTTGCTTCTGTTATAATGATGTGATTGTTGAGTAAGGCTTTGGACCCGTTATGGAGATCCATGATGTGCTGCTGGCCTTGTCTCGCTCTGATTACCTTTGGTTCTAAATCCAAAGAGCAAAGGTAATGATTATGCACGTTATGATTAAACATGTGATCGTGTGAAACGCATTAACAATTTCTGTACACATGTCCAGGTGTTTTGTGTGTCCTATGGATCAATAAATATTTGCTATATTCATCAATCCTCCAGCAGGCGGCTAACCCTTCTTCTGATTACCTTTGGTTCTAGCCAGTGGTTGCTGAAGCATCCATTCACATTTACAGCCATCCTTCAGCCATTTGACCTACAGTAGCTCTTCTGTTGGATTGGACGACAAGGACCAACCTTCATTCCCCATATGCATCAATGAGCCTTGGCCACCCCTGACCCTGTCGCCAGTTCTCCTTCCTTGGACCACATTTAGTAGGTCCCGACCACTGCAGATTGGGAACATCTCACAAGATTTGCAGTTTTGGAGGTGCCCTGACCCAGTCTTCTATCATATACAATGTAGCCTTAGTCAAATTTCCCAAATCCTTACGCTTGCCCATTTTTCTGCTTTCAGCACATCAACTTCAGGGACAACATATTCACTTGCATCCTAATATATTCCACCCACCTAGAGGTGCCATTGTCATGAGATAATCAATGTTACCCACTTTACCGGTCAGTGGTCATAATGTCATGGCTGATCAGTGTGTGAGATATACACTATATTGCCAAAAGTATTGGGACACCTGCCTTTACACATATATACTTTAATGGCATCCCAGTCTTAGTCTGTAAGGTTCAATATTGAGTTGGCCCACCCTTTACAGCTATAACAGCTTCAACTCTTCTGGGAAGGCTGTCCACAAGGTTTAGGAGTGTGTCTATGGGAATGTTTGACCATTCTTTCAGAAGTGCATTTGTGAGGTCAGTCACTGAGGTCGGACGAGAAGGCCTGGCTCGCAGTGTCTGCTCTAATTTATCCCAAAGGTGTTCTATCGGGTTGAGGTCAGGACTCTGTGCAGGCCAGTCAAGTTCCTCCACCCCAAATCCTATCATCCATATCTTTATGGATGTTGCTTTGTGTACTGTTGCTCTGTGCACTGGTGCACAGTCATGTTGGAACAGGAAGGGGCCATCCCCAAACTCTTCCCACAAAGTTGGGAGCATGAAATTGTCCAAATGTCTTGGTTATGCTGATGCCTTAAGAGTTCCCTTCACTGGAACTAAGGGGCCAAGCCCAACCCCTGAAAAACAACCCCACACCATAATCCCCCCTCCAGCAAACTCTACACTTGGCACTATGCAGTCAGGCAAGTACCGTTCTCCTGGCAACCAGCAAACCCAGACTTGTTAATCTGAAGCATGATTTATCCCCAGAGAACACTGCTGTAGAATCCAGTGGTGGCGTGCTTTACACCACTGCATCCGACGCTTTGCATTGCACTTGGTGATGTAAGGCTTGGATGCAGCTGCTCGGCCATGGAAACCCATTCCATAAAGCTCTCTACGCACTGTTGTTGTGCTAATCTGATGGCCACATGAAGTTTGGAGGTCTTTAGCTATTGACTCAGCAGACAGTTGGTGACTTCTGTGCATCCAAGTGTGGGTTTTCTCTCACATTCTATCTCAGTGACAAGGGTCAGCAGGACATAATGGGGCAGATTTACTACAACTGGATCACTCAGAATCTGGTGCAGCCATACATGGGAGCCAATCAGCTTCTAACTTCAGCTTGTTCAGTAAGGCCGGCCATACATTGGTTGATTTTCAAAGAATTTTTTGTTCGAAAATCAGACCTAAGAATAAATCGGCCGATTTTCGCTCTGTTAGTGGGGCAATGGCACCGGCCGATTTTCATAGTTCCTCCTCATTTCATTTATCAGACATGCAGAAACATTTGTGAAAAACAACCAATTTTCAACCATTGGTGGCACCATCGAATTACAGAACAAATCATGTTTTCAATTGAAAATCGTTTGGAATTTGACCCATGTATGACCTGCTTTAAGCTTTGAAAATCCTGGAGGCTGATTGGCTATCATGCACAGCTGCACCAGCCTTTGCCCTCTCCAGTAAATCTCCCCGTAAAGGTATTCCTGTACAGAGATGGTGTCATTCATGTATCATAGAAACTCCATTGTGACAGAATGTATAAAACACAGAGCAGTCTGGTGATGTCGAATAATCCCCCTTACACATGTCATGTGTGATATACCTTCCTCAGACAAATCCAGAGCCCCGTACACCCAGCCACAGACATCACACTACAGCCGACACCGGATTATACTCCTCCTCCCTACACCCACACCTGAACCATGGCCGCCGCCATCTTGCCTTCAAAGTTCAACCACAACTTTATTAACACGAACAGAAGCAAACCTGAAACGTGAACATTTTCTTAAATCGGTTTTAAAAACAAATGAGGCTGACTGGATTATGGCGGGGCATGCAAAATGGGCATAACAGAACGTGGCAGCCATCTTTTTCTAAGCGGAACCTTATTGCTGGTGCTCTAATTTCCGGGCGGATGAGTTTGGAAGAGGCACATCCGGTGTGGCTCTGCACATGTGACATCTCTGGGTGATCGGGGAGGATGGCAGGGTGTTGCGGCAGAAGCTGTGGCGGAGTACGCGGGTGCTGGAGACGGTCAGCGCTCACCCCGAGCAGCTCCTCAGGTATGAGCCGACATCGGCGAGCTAATGGGACGCTTCCCCTAGGAGTAGAAGGATGATAGGACCCCGGGCTCTCCATGGAGGACAATACACAGATAGGACCCCGGGCTCTCCATGGAGGACAATACACAGATAGGACCCCGGGCTCTCCATGGAGGACAGCACACGGATAGGACCCCGGGCTCTCCATGGAGGACAATACACAGATAGGACCCCGGGCTCTCCATGGAGGACAGCACACGGATAGGACCCCGGGCTCTCCATGGAGGACAGCACACGGATAGGACCCCGGGCTCTCCATGGAGGACAAGACACAGATAGGACCCCGGGCTCTCCATGGAGGACAAGACACAGATAGGACCCCGGGCTCTCCATGGAGGACAGCACACACAGGATCTCCATGGAGGACAAGACACAGATAGGACCCCGGGCTCTCCATGGAGGACAGCACACAGATAGGACCCCGGGCTCTCCATGGAGGACAAGACACAGATAGGACTCCATGGAGGACAGCACGGGCCGGGCTCTCCATGGAGGACAAGACACGATAGGACCCCGGGCTCTCTCAGGTAGGGACCCCGGGCTCTCCATGGAGGGCAGCGCGGCGCGGATAGGACCCCGGGCTCTCCCATGGAGGGCAGGCGCGATAGGACCCCGGGCTCTCCATGGAGGGCAGCGCGCGGATAGGACCCCGGGCTCTCCATGGAGGGCAGCGTGCGATAGGACCCCGGGCTCTCCATGGAGGGCAGCATAGGAGGGCTCTCCATGGAGGGCAGCGCGCGGATAGGACCCCGGGCTCTCCATGGAGGGCAGCGCGCGGATAGGACCCCGGGCTCTCCATGGAGGGCACCGCGCGATAGGACCCCGGGCTCTCCATGGAGGGCACCGCGCGATAGGACCCCGGGCTCTCCATGGACACCGCGCGGGACCCCGGGCTCTCCATGGAGGGCAGCGCGCGGATAGGACCCCGGGCTCTCCATGGAGGGCAGCGCGCGGATAGGACCCCGGGCTCTCCATGGAGGGCAGCGCGCGGATAGGACCCCGGGCTCTCCATGGAGGGCAGCGCGCGGATAGGACCCCGGGCTCTCCATGGAGGGCAGCGCGCGGATAGGACCCCGGGCTCTCCATGGAGGGCAGCGCGCGGATAGGACCCCGGGCTCTCCATGGAGGGCAGCGCGCGGATAGGACCCCGGGCTCTCCATGGAGGGCAGCGCGCGGATAGGACCCCGGGCTCTCCATGGAGGGCAGCGCGCGGATAGGACCCCGGGCTCTCCATGGAGGGCAGCGCGCGGATAGGACCCCGGGCTCTCCATGGAGGGCAGCGCGCGGATAGGACCCCGGGCTCTCCATGGAGGGCAGCGCGCAGATAGGACCCCGGGCTCTCCATGGAGGGCAGCGCGCGGATAGGACCCCGGGCTCTCCATGGAGGGCAGCGCGCGGATAGGACCCCGGGCTCTCCATGGAGGGCAGCGCGCGGATAGGACCCCGGGCTCTCCATGGAGGGCAGCGCGCGGATAGGACCCCGGGCTCTCCATGGAGGGCAGCGCGCGGATAGGACCCCGGGCTCTCCATGGAGGGCAGCGCGCGGATAGGACCCCGGGCTCTCCATGGAGGGCAGCGCGCGGATAGGACCCCGGCTCTCCATGGAGGGCAGCGCGCGGATAGGACCCCGGGCTCTCCATGGAGGGCAGCGCGCGGATAGGACCCCGGGCCCTCCATGGAGGGCAGCGCGCGGATAGGACCCCGGGCCTCCATGGAGGGCAGCGCGCGGATAGGACCCCCCGGGCCCTCCATGGAGGGCAGCGCGCGGATAGGACCCCGGGCCCTCCATGGAGGGCAGCGCGCGGATAGGACCCCGGGCTCTCCATGGAGGGCAGCGCGCGGATAGGACCCCGGGCCCTCCATGGAGGGCAGCGCGCGGATAGGTCCCCGGGCCCTCCATGGAGGGCAGCGCGCGGATAGGACCCCGGGCCCTCCATGGAGGGCAGCGCGCGGATAGGTCCCCGGGCCCTCCATGGAGGGCAGCGCGCGGATAGGTCCCCGGGCCCTCCATGGAGGGCAGCACACAGTATCCTGGACAATCACAATAATTGTGTAGTTACGTATTAGGGAGCCATTGGTGACATCTGCTTAGGTGTACCATATACATGACCATCTGATTGTACAATCAACTCTGGATTTACCAAAGCCACGTGATATCAAGATCTGTCCAGACTATCCAACCAGCCGGGTCCTTGTGCTAGGCAGTAGATAATAGATGTGAGGCCTCATGCACTCGAGTATCAAAATATGGTCATTGAGGGCTCATCCAGATGGACGATCAACACCATCCTCGGGTCCCAGCCACTGTCAGCTGCAATTGAATCCACCGCAGCGCTGTATGCAGTCAGCCTGCAGACTTGGATGTAGATGCAGTGGCTGCAGGGACACAATTGCATGTCAGGAGCGAAATGTACAATGTCTGCGTTCAGATCTGTGCGCCTGCTCCTGCCCGCATGTCAGATTTAGACGTGATTTTGTCCATGCAGCCACTGCATCCACTTCTGTGCATACTAGTATTAACCACTTGCTCTCCAGAAGATTTACTACCCTCCTCGCTTCATGACCAGGCCATTTTTTGCTATGTGGCGCTGCACTACTTTAAAGCAGAGTTCCACCTGAAGAAAAAAAAAAAAGTCAGCAGCTACATAAACTGTAGCTGCTGACTTTTAAAATACAGACACTTACCTGACCCTCAGTCCAGCGGTGTCCTCACCATGGCTGGTTTCTCCCTGGCGCCGGCATCTACAGTGTGGGCACCCGGCTGTGACAGCTTGCGGCTTCATAGCCGGGTGCCCCCTGCGGATGCGCGAGAAGCGCTGTGCTTTATGAATGGCCCCGTAGTCTTCTGGGACCTGTTTCGTGTCCCAGAAGACTACTGAGAGGGAGGGAGGAAGACAACTTCTGATCACCTAGACGATCGCAGCAGAAGTGGGAGTGGGTACCTGTCAAATTCGGGTACCCGCTCCCCAAAGGTGCCAATCCTTAATGGGGAGCAGGGGACAAAGGCTTAAAGCGGAACTTCCCCTTGTGAGTGGAGCTCTGCTTTAACTGACAATTGCGTGGTCATACTACGCAAATGAAATTTATACCCTTTTTTTTCCACACAAATACAGCTTTCTTTTAGTGGTATTTGATCACCTCTGGGTTTTTACTGTGTGCGCAAAAAAATAATTTTTTTTTACTTTTTTGCTATAAAACATATCCAAAAAAATAAAATACTTTATAAATTTAGACCAAAATGTATTCTGCTACATGTCTTTGATAAGAAAAAATCCCAGAAAGTGTACAATAATTTGTGTGAAAATTATATTGTTATTATTATACAAGATTTATATAGCGCCAACAGTTTGCGCAGCACTTTACAATATAAGGGAGACAATACAGCAACAATACATTTCAGAACAGAAGGAATAGGAGGGCCCTGTTTGTGGAGCTTACAATCTAAAGGAAGGGGGAGGTGATACAAAAGGTGATAGCTGTGGGGGATGATCTGGCGGAGGTGACTCAAGTACAGTTCTTAGGTGGAGGAGATTATATAATCTTCAAAGAATGGTATAGATACTAAATTTTTTTTTTTCTTATGCTAGTAATGGTGGTGATCAGCAACTTATAATGGGACTGTGTTAGTACGGCGGCTATTCTGACACCTGGTAGGAACTAACTGCCATTGACATCTCCAGTGACACTAATACAGTGATCAGTGCTAATAAAAAGCACTGTCACTGTATTGATGACACTGGGCAGGAAGGGGTTAACATCTGGGGCGATCAAAGGGTTAACAGTGTGCCGGGGAGTGTTATTGTGTGTGTGAGTGCGTGCTGTTATACTAGTGGATGTGCTGTTTTATTTTCCCTGCTTTGCAGAGAGATTAAAACCAGCACGTCCCTGCTGACAGGAGAGAGATCTGTGTTGTTTACACACACAGCTCTTCTGTCACTCGCTACGCTGATCGCCGGGTCTCGGCCATGAATCACTGGCCAGGACTCAGTGATTGACATGTAAGGGAGCCAATGATAGCACAAGTAGGTGCATGCGCGCGCCTCCTACCAGGAAAAAGCAGAATTAAGTGTATATTTATTTTATTTCGGGTACTTATATAGCGCCGTCAATTTACACAGCGCTTTACATATATATTGTACATTCACATCAGTCCCTAACCCTCAAGAGGCGTACCATCTAAGGTCCCTAACTCACATATATAGATATACTAGCGCCAATTTGGACAGGATCCAATTAACCTACCAGCATATCTTTGGAGTGTGGGAGGAAACCGGAGTACCCGGAGGAAACCCACGCAGGCACAGGGAGAACATGCAAATTCCAGACAGGTGGTGCCGTGGCTGGGATTCGAACCCATGACCCTAGTACTGCCAGGCGAAAGTGCTAACCATTTCGCCACTGTGCTGCCCCAAATATACATATATATATATATGATATATATGATTCTGCGCAGCTGGCCCGCACTGTAGCAGTAAAGTAGGTGGCAGTAAAAGCTACAGTGCGCATTCAGGAAATGGTTAAGCTCCGAGGGTGGATTCACACACAGCTAACAGCGGCTCCGATCTGAGGATGGGTTTGATCACCAGTCTCAATGAGCCCTTAGGGTCGTTTCACACGAGGTGGACCCGTTTAGTGGATCCACTTGCTCAGTAGGGGATCTCTCCGCTGAGCAAGCAGATGACAGTTCTGTGTCCATTCCGCTGCTGCAGAGCAGACACAGAGCTGTTCGCTCTCCTCAATGGGCGGTCAGATGAAAACGGAGTGCCTGTCCATTTTCATCTGGTCGGAAGGAATGGGAATTGGATCCCTACCCGCCCCTTTTTGGTGGATCGGATGTCGGCGGTTGAAAACGGACACATGTCCAGTTACACCTGCTGCTCCATAGAGGAGAATAGAGGTTCTGATCGGGTCCTCCTGAAAAACAGGCAGGCGGACCCGATCGGAACGTCCATATGCAAGAG